ATGTTCTGTTAATAATAAACAGTATTAAACAACATTTGCCGGCCTGAATGTCCGAGAAATTTTCATCCTGTCGGAGGACGAATATTTTCTATGAAAATTTCTAGGACATTCAGGCCGGTAAATGTTTGTTTACATTTGATACGTCATGAGCAGATATGAATGTACTTGAGAGATTCATGGATGATTGAAGTTTAAATACAGTAAATTCGACCTTGCTAATCGAACGATCCGCTGTGGCCGAATCGGTTAAAAGGCACGTCAGGCTATATGACGGTTCCGTAATATATATATATATATATATATATATATATATATATATATATATATATATGCTGGATGATTAAGGTTTCTACATATATTTTTTCTTTGGTTCGGACCATTTGTCTGGTTTCTGGGCAGATTTTGAACATACATAGTCCAATGGGCGCTCTTGGTATTCATAATTCATTATCAAGTTTTGGTCCGTTTGTAGTTCAGGGTTGACCATGGATAGCATCCTAGTTGTCTGCTTGGCTGGAGCATCGACGTCTGTGACCGTAAAGGCCGATGCTGGAGTGACAATGTCAGTTGCAGAGGTCGCATCTGTGTTCTGTCTCTGGTCTGTTTGAAGTGTGACTTTGCTTTCTACGGGCCCGCCTTTCCGTGGCAACTTGTGTCAGCTTCTCCTCCCCTGACTTGAGGTGTTTGGTCAGGGTTCCTCTCCATTTGTATTGTATAGCGTCTCATTTTATGGTTTTATTTTTATTTTTTGTTTGCTTTTTATTTTTATTTATTCCTTTTCTTTTTTCAAATATTGCGTCTTCACGTGTCAGTTGTTTGGGTCTTGTAATATGTTAATATATTGCAATAGTTTGTTTTTTTTTATCTGTGAAATATATTTAATATGTTTGTTCCAAAATTAAAAGAAAATCTTTGGTAATGGTTAAGGAGCCGATTATATCCTCTGATGTTATTATTATAGTTTGAGGAAGAAAAGAAGGATCGTGAACTTCCCCAACGACACAAATGTGAAGCGAACGCAACAACCCCGACCTGAATTTGAATTCAGCATGTCAAATCTATTTTCCGTTGATAACCGCGAAAACAACCAATCAATTTCACTCCCCCTCTTGTCTTTCACTGATCCTTTCTTTATTTAAGTACCCCCTCTTTTACTTTTCTTCTTATTTCTCTATTTTTCTTTAACTTCTTTTTTTCCCACCTTTGCAACTTTTTTGATGTCAACGAACACTCGTTGCCACTTTTGTGATGTCAACGAATAATCGTTGTCACTTCCGAAATGCTCGTTGCTCTTTGTAATCGCAGATACAACTCTAGTAACGCCGTTGAACAATACTGGTGACAGACGCCTTCGAATAGCACTCTCACTCATAGTACTTGCTCGATAATACTTGCTCGAATAGTAATCCGTATAGTGATCCGAATAGAGAAATAGTATAGTGAATAGAGTAGAGAATAGCGGTCCGTATACTAATAGAGGATAGAATAGAAATGGGGATCCGTATAATAATAGAGGATAGACTAGAAATGCGATCAATTAGACGTCACGTGACTTTCTACTTATACGTTATCTCTATGATCACGTGGTCTACTTAGTTCAATAATGAGATCGCCTGTGTTTGCTCACTGGCGATCTGTGTTCAAACTCAAGTGTCGGCAGCGACACTTTATTCCTATATAACAGCAACTTTATTTTACTCTCTTTCTTTCCTTTAAATTCTTTTCTCTTTCTCGCACCACCCTTTCCTCTCGCTCTTTCCTCGCTTTCTTTCCTTCCTCTCCCTCTATCCTCTCTCCTCCCCCTTTCTTTCCATACACCTCTCTCTGACTCCCCACACACTAAGGAGATTAGATCTCCTCTATTAACCCTTTCCTGTGTAACGACCCTTTACCAATTAATAATTCTCTTTGCATAAAATCCAATTCACTTCTACCCAGCCCGTCTCGAGCAGTTCTTCCAATGTGGCTTCTAGACTTCGAGAACAACAAATTAAATCTTTTCGGGATGATCTCTCAAAGTAGATTTGAGCCTCTATACTCGCTCGAAGCTGCTAAGATCTATGGGCAAATCAGGTTCACAGCTACAATCAGGTCGTTTCCTGATCGCCATATTAATCTTTGCCCAATGCTCTGAGAAATGAGAATCCGGTTTCGATATTCGGCTCAACTCTGGGTAAATGCTTTGAGCGAAATGCGTTTTAACCTGTCTGAAGACGGATCTGTAAGCTAAAAGGACTAATGGACCATACGGAGAGTTTTGGAAGCGAGGGGTGGGGGTCAATGACAACATACAGACGAGAGGAGAATGAGATTGCGACTGGTGTTCTGTCACTGATCCTACGAATTGGAATTGATTGGAAAGAAAGAAAGCAAGAAAGATTAGAAGCGAAAGAATGAGATTAGAATTGAAAGAAAGAAAGAATCATAGATTATAAAAGGTGACAGGAAGAAAGAAGTCACCTAATATACAAAGTAAGAAAGAAACAAAGAAACAAAGAAGTCATTGATTATAAGAGGTGAGAAAGAAAGAAAGAAAGAAAGAAAGAAAGAAAGAATGAAAGAAAGAAATCATAGAAGTGAAAGAAAGGGTAAGATTAGAATTGAATGAAAGAAACAAACAGAAAGAAAGGAAGAAAGAAACCATAGAAGTGAAAGAAAAAGTAAGATTAGAATTGAATGAAAGAAACAGAAAGAAAGAAAGAAAGAAAGAAAGAAAGAAAGAAAGAAAGAAAGATGCACTAATGTATAACAGGGAAGAAAAAAGAATGGAAGCGGGCAAGAGGAACTAAATTATCTCGAGAAAGAAAGAAAGAAAGAAAGAAAGAAAGAAAGAAAAAAATTATGTATCTTAGGAAAGAAAGAAAGAAAGATTAGAAGCTAAAAAATGACATTAAAATTGAAAGAAACTAACAAAGGATCATAGATTTTAAGAGCTGACAGAAAAAAAAAGAAATCATAGATTAGAAGGGAAAGAAAGAAACAAAGAACCATAGATTATAATAGGCGACAAAAAGAGAGAAAGAAGCCACCGTGTATAAGAGGCGATAAAGGAAGGAAGGAAGGAAGGAAGGAAGGAAGGAAGGAAGGAGAGGAGAGGAGGGAGGAAAGAAAGGAGGGAGGAAGGAAGGCGTCACCGCTTATAAATGGTAAATGAAAAGAAAGAAGAAAATAAAAAGTTTTAAGAAACATAAAAATGTTCGAAAATGAAAAATAAAAGAATGAATAACAAAAAAAAAGAAAGAAAGAAGATTCGGGAAATACAGAATCAAAGAGGAAATAACTCGTGATATCAAAAAAAAAAAAAGAAAGTAAAAGAAATAGCAGTGAGAGACAGAACTTACCCTATCAACATAGCGTTCTCTATGGAAATCCTCTTAGTCAAATAATAATCCGGCACAAGAGAAATGTCTGAGCAGCTTTTAGGCAAGATGGACACAGTCGGATTATGGAAAGAAAGAAACATTTTATCTGTTCTCGTCTTGCAAATGTCTGCAGCACGGAACCAATGATTTGGATATCAACGTGTATATTAGAATCTGATCTAACAGCCATATAGGTTACAATGACATTAAGAACGGCGAAGAGTTTTGTTTTTGTTTTTGTTTTTTTTTTTTTGCTTTTTGCTTTTTGCTTTTTTTAAAAAAAAAATAGATTTATTCTGAGATATTTGTCACTGAACAGATTTGAAAATTCTAATTCTGTCAAAAAACAAGGCAATAAAGAAAAGTAGGGAAAAAGTAATAATTATCAATTGTCAGAAAGCAGAATAAATTGTTGTTAGCAAGAAGGAAATTACGATTTTTTTTTCTAACAGTTCAATTTTGTCGTAGATTGATACAAACCGGTGGATATGATTAATCCGACCATTGGGATTTGAAACTATTACAAATCTATCTCTCTATTTAGCCATATGTCTGTGAAGAAATTTACAGCATCGTACGGGGCATCCAGTGAGGATATTTGTCCCTTTGCTATTCTTCCCTATCCCATCCATTTACCCAGATTAGTTAAATAGGTTACTCGCTGTTCCCTCCTGCTCTCTTGCTTTCGATATATCCTGTGAGTGTCAAATTCTCCAAGCACTCTGGTCTTAGAATCTCAACTGTTTTTTTTTATGATCCTAAGCACAAGTTTCATGTTTGTTTCTAATTTTCTTAAAACCTTCTTGTTACCCTCTTCCTAACAAATGTATAACCACATGCCTTTCAAGAAATTTCCAGCACTCACTGCCATCTACGATTGATATTACATAATGTTACGGTGGAGTATTGGATAGCGGCTCGGATTGAGGAATCGGAGAGCCGAGTTCGAATTCCAGTCAAATCCATTATATTCGCTTACGTGCTAATACCCTTTGGGAAACGTATGAATCCTCTTCTTCTCCTCCACCCCAGCTATGGATAAATAGCAGGACAGACCGGGATCTATAGCCTTGTATGGCAACTGGTCTACCATAGAAAGAAATGGCAACCTACTGCGGGAAAAAATCTGCCTCGTCAGTCATTTATCAAAAGATACATGAACGCCTGGCACATAACTGACTGAATTGGTTACAGAAATCAAACCATACTAAATCATAAACTGTATTGAGCAAAACCGTATTACTCAAGGATTCACAAGGACAAAGATGTTAACGCGTAAAATTTATTTCGAAAAACAAAAGAAAGGAAGTTGTGGAGAGTCTTGATTTTCCATATCCTTGAAGTGACTTCATACATAAAAGAAAATGTTATTGTTGCAAGTGTATCCGAATATATTTGTCAACATTCAGCCTCGACGAAATAAGTTAATGTCACATACTTTTAGTCACCACTGTCATGGCCTTCGCCATTATCTCTGTCGTCATATCCCTTGTAGTATTTTCTATTCTATTTGTTCCTTAAATCATTTTGGTAACGTTACTGAATTTTGAACATTGCCAAGATGATCGCCATTTCATTTTCCTCATGGGCCGCTTTCTTAATGTGTGATAAAATTGATTGGTGATGCATTCTCTGTGTTTTGTTAAACAGTTTACTTTGGGTTTTTTTCCTTGCAGTAATGTACTGTGAATTTTCTCACCACCAATCTCCATATTCCAGCATCGGTGTGTTACGAAATAACACTAAGCAACATTATTATTATCATTTGTGTATGTTATGTTTCCTGCTTTGTATCTTTTAGAGCCGGGTCCAAACTATGATCCCTAGGCCCTATAGGAAAATTGTCATTTAATTGACAGCACTTTTCTTAGTATATGGGATCTTCCTAGTAGGACGTTCTTCTGAACAACTTGTGCGTTGATCTTACCTAAGACACTGTTAATTAAATTGTCCATTCCTTTTCTCACGAGGCACAGAACTCCAATTACTATTCATACAGTCTCAGTTTTCATTCCTTCATCTCGGTCCTTGTATTTGAACAATTTCTCGATAATTTTCATGGAGGTATTTCTCTCAGATGGTACTGCTATATTAATAAGCATACACTTCCTGAATTTGTTATCTTTTATGATAATATCAGGTCTTTTATTTCCCAGTCATTTTGAATTGGCTTATCCCAGAGGATAGTTACATTGTTATTTTGGGTAACTGTGGTGATCATACCATCTCTCAATGGTTTCGATTTTGTGCTTCTTGTATATCTACCCGTGCACATACGTCGCTACCGTTTTATGTCTATGGATATATCTATTTTTTGCTAGTTCCAGATATCCTGAGATAATATGGTCAACGGTTTCATCATATTTTCCGCAGATCCTACATTTCGGGTTAGTTCCATCCTTGATTATGTGACAGTGAGGGGATCTGGTTGCGAGGCTTTGGTCCTGAGCTGCAATAATTAGGCCTTCTGTCTTAGCTTTCAACCCGGTGATCCTCAACTCATATTATTATTTTTTTTTTTTTTATTTCCTTTGATTTCTGGCGTTTACACATTTCTTTCCGGGTCCCGTCCAGGGACCTAAGGTTAGAAATGGCATCATGACACTTTCCACTGACAAAAAAAAAATTACATAGATAAAGCCCTTCGTAAAATGTGGGCTGTACTTGTGAGAACAATTTTTTGTATCTCTTTGAGGCATGGACTTCCAGGAATCCCTTCACTTAGTCTACTGGAATCTTTTCAAACCAATCCTAGGGCTCCAACTACAACAGGGATTGTTGATGTTCCCATGTGTCACATTTTTATTTTCATTATTATTATTATTATTAATATTAATATTATTAGCACGCAATCACAAAGTGTCATTAGTGGTTTCGGGAAAACATCAGTTGAGTCAGAAATACTTGTTATCGCAGCATCAACGACAAAACAAATGCAAAATTACATTAGTTGTCATCAAAGTTTAGTAGACACACGACAAGGCAATATTGAGATGGGGAACTAAGTTGATGAAAGTAATTAAATTCAACAAAAATAACTGCGAACCATTTTATTGGTACTTCCCACCTGGTCTACTAATACTGTCAACATCCACTAACACCGCAAGCGGTAGTTTGGAGGTCAGTGGCGGGGAGAGGTTAGACTACTATAAAATGGCGTCTAAAAGAAAATCAAATAAAAGAATTCCTCTTGCTCTGTCTTTCGTCCTCGTACACGAGCTCATTGTCTAATTCAATTTATATGCAGGAATCATTCGTAAATGAATAATTACAACTATTCAATAAACTTTCATCAGCTGTTGATTTAATTATTATTTAGACCTGGCAAATAGCACGTGTCTACATAATGAAAGCGCGAAATCACACGGAGGTGGGGGTAAGGACTCAATAAATTTGTAAGCAATTTTTAAAGAAGAAAATTGGACATATATAAGGTGTTGAAATGCTCGATTATTATTATTATTATTATTATTATTATTTCACACCAGAATTCTTGAGAAATCGAATGGCACTTCTGAGAGCTACAACGCATTTTCTTAATGTCTTTTATGGCAAAAGTTTAATATCCTTTTCTGTTGTCAATTGTTGATTCTATAAAATCCAGTCGTCGCAAATAAGGACGAAATTGTTTTGAAATCTCAACAGAACGATTGTCGACCAAAGAATTTAATATTTTCAGATTATAAGGGGGGGGAGTTACATCCGACTTTGTATAAGATGATATTCCTGCTTGCTCCTCCGTTAGTTAGTAAGCCATTTAGCCCTGACATTGCCTCAAATAAATAATGGACCATTCTGTTTTGATTGCAAGGAAAAAAATGGAGAGACACTGTTTGGTTTTATCGAGAAAAAGAAAACATGCATAATAAGAAAGAAAGAAACAAAGAAAGAAAGAAAGAAAAAAAAAAGAAAGAAAGAAAGAAAGAAAGAAAGAAAGAAAGAAAGAAAGAAAGGGAAGATAGTGAAAGAAATAACGCTCACACGCGTAATAATACAAAATAACAAGAAGAACATAGATCAATTAAAATGGAATAGTGAGTTCGATCTTCACTGGGTGCTCCATACTTTCGGCCTTGTGCCACAACTAAGCTACCCTTAGAAAACTACCATAAAAATAAGAAACAAACAAAGGGAAGATCGTAGAGGCCATAATGTTCCCATGGGTGAACACTTCGACGTGGTGCAATGGTTAGCAAGCTTGTCTCGTTAGATCAATTAAGACTGAGTCGTGACTTCGATCCACATTGAGTGCTCCACACTTTTGGCCTTGTGCCACATCTAAACTACGCTTAGAAAATCATGTACACTCGATGTAGTGTAATAGTTAGGAAGATTGTCTCGCTAGATTAATTACGACTGAATAGTGTGTTCGATCCTCACTGGGTGCCCCACACCTTCAGCATTGTGTCACATCTAAAGTACGCTTAGAAAATCACCATAACGTTCTCATACGTTTAACGTCTGCTACAGTGAAACGGAAAACCTTGTTAATTTCAAATATTTTCATTTGTACCCTCTTACTTCTTTAAGTAATGACCTGCATCCATACTTCTGATTCTCATTGCAATATCTTGATAAAAGTTGTTCAGCTCAAATATTTAACGATACAAGAGAGAGATTTCCACGGGTATTTTATAGTCGTGGAACACGCACTAGGCTTATACGAGCCATGGCTTAAGAATTAAGATTTATCAGAGAATGCAATTAGAGGACCAGTGAAATTTTCAAGGGCACTGGTACTAAAGAATAATCTGTTTAAAATCCTTTTATCTGCTGTGCATTTGACCAGGATCAAAGAGTTACAGTTCTTCTTCAATTACATCTTCGAGTTGTGATCATCGAGTTAAGGCGAACGATCCTGACATTATTTGCTTAGTATGTGCTTCGCCAGAGCTACATAAAGTTTGGAATTCAGAGTTTTTCCTTCGCTTAGACTGGTTGGCACTCAAGGCTATAGAACCCAGTCTGTTCTATTATTTAACCATAGCTGGGGGGAGAAGATTTGGATTCATATCTTTCCCAAGGGTATTAGAACATGAAATTGAAAGTAATGAATTCGACTGGAATTCGAACTCGGCTCTACAATTCCTCAATCCAAAACTTTCGAAAAGTCTAATAATCACAGAAATATCGAAGGCAAGAGAAGTAGAGGAGAGCTAATTAAGAAGTTTATTTGAATGGATAGCAAACAGAAGAGAAAGAGGGATGGTAATAGGTCAATAGTTAGCTTGAGCAACAAGAAGTTGTGGAGAGTCATATTCGCCTATGAAAGAAGAGAGTGCTAATACCTTCACAAGTGTATCCAGACATATTTGTTTATATTTAACCTACATTTAGGAGAATGTTTTCTTTGTCGTTTTATAGAGATTGATTTTCTCTCGACGTAATGCGTTGGGAATTTTCTCACTACCAGACACTATATTTCGGTATTGGTGTTTTGCAAAAGAACAAAAGAAATCTGAATTTGTGTGATTGGATGGCAGGTTGATAATGGATCAAACATTAATTAAAGCAACAAAAAAAGACAAGAAATTCTGGAGAGCCGTGATAGCCAACGTTCTGGAACATGAAAGGTGATACAAGCATTTGGCAATGCGCTCAGTCCTAACAAATCTACCCAACTATTCCGGAGCGTACAACAGCTGAAACGTCGTGACAATAAAGATGAGGACAACAGTCCGAACAATATAAGTAATATAAAAAGGAGATTTATACTTATAGTCTGAAAGATATAGTTGACATTTCTGGGTCACATAATGAGGAAATAAGGCTTGGAAATCTGATACTCACAGGACAAATTGAAGACAAGAAGGACAGAGCGACACGACGCAAAACAAACCTGGCAAGCTTGTATAAATGGTTGACAGTTTAGGAGAGATAACAAAGAGACAAAAATTTATTAAGAGCTACAAAGGACAGGACATTGTGGAGTGCTATGATCGCCAACGCCCTGAACGTACATGACACAAAGAAGAAGAAGAAGAAGAAGAAGAAGAAGAAGGTCACTGAATTACTCTATTTGACGCACGGTTGTATAAGACGCACCTCAATTTCAGCAGGGAAAACTAAGAAAGAAAAAAGTTAGTAATTAGTAAAATTATTAGTAAATGTTACACCCTAGGCTATATTTATGAGGTATTATTTTGGTTAATGAAGCCGTGATTACAATTAAACGAAAAATAATAGGAAAAAAGAATATGAGCCTATAAAAACTTTATTATATCCTTTTTATGATCTGTACAACCTGTGTCTTGTAAACGTCTTAGTGGAATAATTAAGATATAAAAATTCTGATTGTATTTATACCAATGCAACCGGGAGTTATCGCAAGAAAAATATTAATGAAACAAATATATTTTACAAATATATAATTTGAATTTATTGCATATAATTTTAGTGAAACAAAGTACTAATATTAAACGTGATGAAATTAATATAATGAATATTATCAATGATAACACTTAATCTACATAATAGCCTTTTAAATAATGACAATAGGCATATGAAAGTTAGTCTAAAGTCTAAGTTGCCAGGTAGCTAATTTCGACCGATTATCGCGATTTTAAACCAACATATGGCATATAGGACGCAGAGTAAATTTTAAAAGATATTTTTAGTAAAAAAAAAAAGTATGCCTTATATGCCGTCAAATAATGTCAGTTAGTCAGTTATGTGCCATGCGTGAAACACGCTTAGGCGATCATGTATCTTTCGATACATGACTGACGAGGCAGATTTTTTCTCGCAGTAGGTTGCCATTTCTTTTTGCGGTAGACCAGTTGTCATCCAAGGCTATAGAACCTGGTCTGTCCTGCTATTTACCCATAGCTAGGGGGGAGAAGAAGAGGTATCATAACTTTCCCAATGGTATTAGCACGTAAGTGAATGCAATGGATTCGACTGGAATTCGAACTCGGGTCTCCGATTCCTCCAAAAATTTTGAGGAGTCATGGAAAATCATGATCGCTTTCGAACTGAAAGGACGCGAGACATGAATCAAGAATCTATTTGACATGAATATGCTGGAAATATCAAATGTTTCAAGAAAACGTTTGTTTTTATGCATACATCTCCTGATGAACATAAGAGTTGTAGATAAACCACTGAAAGTTCCCGAGTTGATTTCTAAATATTAAGGATCGTAGCTGTACTTTATAGCTTTTTTTCTTATTTATTTTTTATGTTTATTCTTGTTCAACGGAGTTTTAACTTTCACATTTATCAAAATACTTTCTTTTTTTTCCTTGAAGAGATTATCTTTCGGTTTTAATCTCTTGGTCGACTTTTCAATGTCAAAAAAATATCCGCAGCTCAAAAATCTGGCAAAAAAAAACCCAGAGAAGATGAAACTGATTGCTATAATCTATCATGTGAAGTGAAACAAACCTGATGACTCGATTTACTTACATACCTAAATATGGACACCAACTGCCATACTGGTTCACAGTGAACACCGCTAGGATTTTGCAACCGAGAAAATGGAAACCAAAAGCAGACTGATACTTAACATCAGGAAGAGACAGCTAAAAGACGGCTTGGAAAATTTGATACTCACAGGGCAGATGGACCTACTTAGTAAGCCTGAGTAAATAGATGGCGGAACAAGTTTTAAGGGATATAACAAAAAGACAAAATTTATTAAAAGCTACAAAGGACAGAAAATTGTGGAGAGCTATGGCGCCAACGTCCTGAAGTGACACAACACATAGAAGAAGGAAACTGTCTTTCGTAAAGAGGAAAACGATGCCCCAAAATTCAGAGTATGTTCCACGAACTGAATGTAGCATGGACGTCTGGCTCCGGTCAATAGATACGATTTCGAAGGTTTGAGTAATCCTCAACATAAGCGGCGTCAAATGACCTGTCAACGTTCCGTTTCATTTAAACGAAGTCAAATAAACATTTCAGTCTGGAAGCCATATTCTTTCAGATGGCTGAGCTGCTTATGCTGGAATCGAGGAAGAAATCAACCCCAGTACATACCCTCATGTCGCCGTTATTCATCCGCAGCATTTTGTGAATCCTGATAATGACACCATCCATACATGAAACGTGGAAAATCTTTGAATGCGCGTCAAGCGTCAACTGCGACGACAGATTGAAACTTCTGAGGCATTGTCCACATCGCATCTTCACGAATTCGTGTGCCGTCAGTGGTACAAAAAAGTTTATGACCATATCTCGTTGAAACACTAATTCACGTTTGATCAGTGAAGTGAAGTAACGTCGAAGCTGGTCAGGACCTAAATGGGTAAACGCTTGGGATTACCATGTGCTGTAAGTTTGGATGTGCGACCGGTGTAATGGATAATGGCTCGGAATTGTTAATCAAAGAGCCGAGATCCATCTCCTGTTTGGTTCGTTATAATCAGTTACGCGTAAATATCTTTGGGGAAGGTATGAATCCATCTCTTTCCCCCATCTATGGGTTAATTAGTAAGATTTGTATCACAAAACCATTATTATCTCCAAAGATTACTTACAATATAAAAATATTTTCTGGTTTTAAATAATCTAAAAAGGGTTGATAACCCGTAATAAACGAATCAATCAAGCCAAAAAAAGACTGGTACAAGAACTGTCCCATGTTTTCAGGATTTATTTGCTGATTTGTTCACCATTACCCGTTGTAATAATGTTTAATTGTAATAAACGCATATACTTTGGTCTTATTGATTTTTACACTGTTCAGGGAATAACAGTTTATTTTACGCAATGTCGAGCCTGGTCAGTACATCAATGGGTGACTGCTTGGGAATACAAGGCGTTGTAAGCGAGGATGTGTGAGTGATGTGACCGATAATGGCTCGGAATTGCTAATCGGAGAGCGAGTTCCAATTCCAGTTGGGTTTGTTATATTCGCTTACGCGCAAATACCCTTGGGAAAGGTATGAATCCACATCTTCTCCTCCCAACTATGGGTTAATTAGTAAGGCTTATATTAGTAAAACATCATTATCTCCAAAAACAATTTTACAACCTAAAAATATTTTCTGGCTTTAAATAACCTGCAA